AACCACGAGCCTCCAGAATGTAGGGAAGAACAGACAAACACACACACACACACACACACCTGTCTCTTATACACATCTAGATGTGTATAAGAGACAGTATAAATGGAGGTGAATTACCAGATGGGAGGCTCCTTTGAATCCACATTGAGTTAGACAAAGTTCCGAAACTGCTTTCATAAGGCAGATTCGCTGTATCTCAGGCTTCTCTATCCCATCTGGAGTCCCCCCTCTTCTGCGGAAGTATGAACCAGCTCCAGTGCTGGGCCACAAAATTGCTTATACACACGATAAATATAACTGATATCACCAAGCACCAGCACTACTCCCACTGCTTGTTTGTCTCCCAAAGAAAACCCAAGGGCCTGGGAAGGTGCAGGAAGAATCTAGCACCAGCCATTTTTGGTCTGGTAGCGCACTGTTCATCCGAAGAACTCTGAATGTGGCATTTTCGGTTTTGAAGTTTGCATGGAGGAGGTACTTGTGGTTAAAAGCCTTCCATTGCTCAATGAAATTTGTATTGCTCATGTTCGCATTAACCGTATGATGGCCAGTCAAGCTTATAAGAGCAATTGTAATCCTGTTAGCAGATTGCTATCCAGATGATTGGTTTGTGTGTTCATGCAACACGTCTTTTGTCGAATTTCTACAGTATGCTGTACCATCACTATGACCACCGTGGTGGTTCGTTTTTTTTTTTTGACGAGTAGCAGGGTTGCATGCCCGCCAACCCCGCTGACACCGGCCGACGACCGTTTTCCAGCCTACCAGCAGGCCCGAGTGGTCAGCCACCTGCCCTGGCTGATGTTATTTCACATCTGAGTTCGGGACTGTACTGCGCATGCTGAGTACAGCCCAAATGCGCTGAGAAACTTTTGGCAATCGAGGTGGGTAGGGGGGGTATGGGAGTTATGGCGGAGGTATAGGGGGTTGTGTGTGTGTGTGTGTGTGTGTGTGGGGGCTGTCTCTTATACACATCTAGATGTGGGCAATCGAGGTGGGTAGGGGGGGTATGGGAGTTATGGCGGAGGTATAGGGGGTTGTGTGTGTGTGTGTGTGTGCTGTCTCTTATACACATCTAGATGTGTATAAGAGACAGCTCCTGCAGCACACCCCCCCCCCCACCGGCGCCACCGCCGCTATCTATTACACCAATCATTACCTCACGTCTAATCCAGGTGATGACTAGGATCTCTCCATCTCCATTGAGACTCCAATTATTCCATCCCCCAGTGGGGACCACCACTTTCAAGTTCCAATCCATTAGCCTGCTGGGCCATGTTCCCATCCATCCATCCATCCATTCTTCGGCAGCCGTCATAAATGGCGTCTCTCTGCCCATCTCTCGATCTGCCCATACGTTCACAACTTCAACTTCACATGAATCTATGAGACATCCTGACCAATGTAGACCAGTGTATAACAAGGACAGAAAAATCTGTACATCATAGAATAGCATGATGGGCAAATACGTTTGATAAGAACTTCCCACTTCTTGTTGGTTGTAGCCAACACCTTCAGGGAGTGTTGATTTGAGTCACTCGACAAGATCAGACTGGAAGAAAATGAGACATAAAGAGAACCGACATTGCTCATCTCGATCTTGAAGATCAAAAGAAACAATCCTCCCACTACTATTTTGTATCGACAGTCCCATCTTTTCCACTCGAAGAAAACCTCCTCCTCCTCCTCCTCCTCCTCCTCCTCCTCCTCATAACCTACTCAATGAAAACCTCCTCCTCCTCCTCCTCCTCCTCCTCCTGCTCATAAACTACTCAAAGAAAACCTCCTCCTCCTCCTCATAACCTACTCAAAGAAAACCTCCTCCTCCTCCTCCTAACGTACTCAAAGAAAACCACCTCCTCCTGTCTCTTATACACATCTAGATGTGTATAAGAGACAGTCCTAACGAACTCCCACTCGTAGCACCAGGCACCCTCCCTAAGTCCAACTACTCCTCTAAGCCCAACTGCAGCCGCCCAACACCCTGCATCAGTCCTCATGCTGTCTCTTATACACATCTAGATGTGTATAAGAGACAGAGTCAACAGTTACAACAGCAGTCTGACAACCCACAACAGCAGCGGTTAGCAGCAATGCCCAACAGTCAACGACAGTCATAGTCCGAGTCTCGATGNCTCCTCCTCCTCCTCCTCCTCCTCCTCCCCCCCATAACCTATACAGAAGAAACAATGCCAAAAATGCAAACTTCCAAACCACAATGCTGAGGGCGATGCAACCTTTACACACAATCGAAGACCTCCTGTTCTTCATTTTTCAAAAAAAGAGTTGTTCCTTTTATCAGGAATTTAGTGTATACTATTTATCTGTGTCCGGAAACCGCTCCCTATCACACAATCAAGCGTGCAAATGAAGTAAACCAAAAATGAAGACTGAAACAATTGCAATGATCGGTGGCAACAAAGAGTTCAATCAACCAGTCGTGTAATTAATGGTCGTAAAAAAAATTTCACTGACTGGTGACAAAGAAGTCGAACTGACTGACATGAAGAACAAGGCAGTCAGTCCAACGGATAGAGATCAACCGTGCAAACGACGTAAACAAACAAAAATGAAATGTGCAATGAATGGAGTAATCAGTCAGTGGCAACAAAGACTTCGACCAACCAGTAGTGTAATCAGTTGTCATAAAAAGTCCGCCGAAGAAGCGTGCACATGAAGCACACAAAACAATGAAGATTCTGCCGACCGAAAGGGTGCAGATCAACCAACCAGTTGCGTAATCAGTGGTCATAAAAAGTCCGCTGACCGACGGCAAACAAGTTCAACCGACTTGAAAAAAGAACAAGGGAGTCCAAAGGATAGCGAATGAAATGCGCAAATGAAGCAAACAAAAAAAAAAAAAAAAAAATGAAAGAGCAAAACAAGTGGAGAGATCAGTGACAATAAGGAGTTCATTGCTCAACCAACCAGTTCAAAAAAATGAAAAAAAAATGAAAGTGCGTAATCAGTGGTCGATAAAAAGTCCGCCGAACAGTGACAAACAAGTCCCAACTGGAAAGAAGAAAAAAAAAAAAAAAAACTTCAAAAACAAAGTACGTCCAAAACGCATACCGAGGAAGCGCCCAATGTGGAATGCTCAATCTGGCACACGATTCCGAACAGCAAGTTTTGTTTTTCCTTCTCCAAAACTTACGGCCAACGCGGCATGGGAGAAACCGTCACATTAGCTTTTCCACAGCGCAGTGATAATCTGTTCCGACAGAAAGTTGTGCCACAGAAAGCTTGTAGAAGTCTCAATAATCCATCATCACATGAAAGTGGCATGATTGGGAAAACCGCCTGTGGCGCTTTCAGTCGGTTGCCATTATTCAATAGCTGACCAGATCAGCCTGTGGCCTGCCCAACCCCATCACATAGACTCATAGGCATCCATTGGGCCTCTGCTCATCAGCTCGGAGCATCGGAGGAGAGCCTGTCGACATCATGCATGTATCCGAAGCTGTACTTCACTTTTAAAGGAAAAGAACAGGCAGGAGTGATGAAATGGCACTTAACAGGAAAGTCGCCGTCAATTACAATACCGATGAGGCATTCGATATGCCAACGATTTTTAACGTCAGAAAACAAAAGAGCTATCTACTCTGACAAGGCCAGCGCATCGATCATCCAGTGCTGTCTACCGTGCTCACTCTCCTTCCGCGATCCTCGTTGAGAAAGATGCCGCTGACAGGAAAAAAAAAAACAAAAAAAAATGCATCCTGTTGAGAAAACAGATGCTGAATCTATACTCCCACTCGCAACGCATGAAAAGAACCATCCATCTCTAACAATGCCAACATAACCATGATCCAAAGCTGTCCGACGCTTTTTGTCTTCTCCACAATACGTCGGTCGAGAATGGTGTTCCCAAAAGGACAGTGTGTTACACAGCTCGCAACGTGTGAAAAGAACCATCGTCTCTAACAACGCCAACATAACCACGATCCAAAGCTGTCCGAACCTTTTCGTCTGCTCCACAATCCATCGGTCGAGAATGCCTATTTCTGAAACAATGCCAACATAACCAGCTTTTCGCATCCCCCAAAGATGTCCAACCTTTTTGTCCGCTCCATGACTCATCATCAGACAAGAATGCTTCTCAGAAAAAGGACAGATTATTACAGGTTGACCGCAGACGCAGCTGCTGCCGGAGAGCTAAGCTACGAATGCCTATTTTTTTCTCGTACAGGGGTCAAAGATCGTCTCTGCAGTGCTGTGGCACAACCATGGTCCCTGTCTTCCATAACCACTTTGTCACAGCAAGCCCTACTTTCAATCGATCAACTCAAAAATTTTCGTCGCGTAAAACTGCCATAGCCGTACGATGCAGTGTGCTGTTCCACCCACAGTGTCATGGCGGTGCTATGCAGAGCCATAGCCATACTATGTACTGCTATGCAGAGTCATAGTCATAGTCATACTATGTATTGCTATGCAGAGTCATAGCCATACTACCGTCTTCACCCGAATAGAACACCCGGTCATTATAGCCGTATTTGGTGCAGTTTTCAGTCTGCATACATTGATAATGACTGGGCATCCTATTCAGGTGAAGACGGTAGGCATTGCCTTGGTCACTGCCCCATAGCTGTGCTAGAGCCCTTTCTTCCACGGTGAAGTACATACCGTGCAAAGAACAGGACACCTTCCTCCCAGAGTTAAGGGTGCGTATGGACAAGGCCCGCCTACTGCCCATTACGCCTAAACAATCTGCACAGTCACATGAATGATGACTCTAAGCAGCAAACGTACTTCTTGCCCTTGACGACAAGTCCAGTGCACTTATCAGTATTCTCACAAATCCACCGTCTGTACGGCGCCCTTCGAAAGACAACTCCACAGGATCGTGGCTATAATCCATGCCTAGCACAAAGTCCAAATAATTTGAAACAACCCCATTCCTCCATAGCAATGCAAGCAAGCCTCCGTTGCACTTCCCTGCGCACCCTCCTAGCCTCCGTTGCACTCGCTGCACACCCCTCCTACAACTCCCTACCCTACGCCTACTACTCTCCTCTCCTCTCCTCTCCTCTCCTCTCCTCTCCATGCTCCTACGCCTCTTCGCTACTCCTATCCTTCCTCTCATCTACAACAAGCCTCACAGCACAGCATTCCTTCCCACGAGACGGAAGGAGTAATTAGACAGGTCATTCAGAAATGACCCACAGTCCAAGACCGTTTTGCAATAGCGTCACTGCATACTCTACCGTTAAGCTATTTCCGCCATGACCCCACTTTGTTCCGTACTGCGCTCGCCACGAGAGGCCGAAGGCATGTCTGTCTGAAACGATCTAATCTGGTCCCATGTAACCGTCACTCCGCAAATGGCTGACAGAGTACTCGGAACTTCCCTCCTCCTCCCCACCACCTCTCCTCAACATCAAATCCTGTCCCCATTTGCTCATCCGATGCACATCTGAGCCTGTTCCCTCTTGCTTATCTGATGCTCTCTCAGATGTCCATGTCTTCTTCCCTTATGCAAAGTCAGGTCTTGGCACAATAACAGGCTGCCAAGAACGAAAGAGGGAAACGGGAGATGGAGGGGTGGGGGAGAGGGGCGGGGGGGGAACAAGACACAATCAGGAGTCGTCAGCTTTTCCATGTTCTTTTTTTTTTTTTCCCCAGGGGGAGGGGGGTCGTCAGCTTTTCCTGTGAAGGCGAGGGATTCGGAGGGAACGACACTAAAACAAAAGTTACGACTCCCTGAAGAATGAACACTACCTTTACGACTTCACGTCGTTTAACCATGTACAATTTTTTGGAAAAACTTGTCACACAAGAGCTGGACAACAGACAATAGTGGCCAGCCTCTTCTTAGAAAGAAAGGGGAAAAAAGAACAACAACAGAAGCTCCACAATATGTGCAGGCAGCATCCGTTGGGGTGGCATCAGATTCTACCCCCCCTGGTGAATGATCTTTGTGATCAACAATCAGAAATGAGGAGTGTGCAAGTGCGATGATTGAATATGTGAATTACATTTCCCTTGGAAGCAGGACACAGCACAATCGTATGGTGACTTAACTTTTGGTTCTTTTCTTTTTCAAATTTGGACCATTTCTAGATTTATGTACGTCATCCTTGCGCAGCGGCCATGCTAATCTTCTTTTTCTCTGTATCATTCTGATTCCGACCGATGTCCCAAAGCACTGCTGACTTAAACTCACAGTGCACAGCCCCAGCCTTGCAGAAAATTGTGAGTTGCGGACTCCGGAAAACGTTTCCACAACTTTCCGGGCTCGGGGCGACAAGACCAAAATTTGAATGTTCAGCAATTGTGTTTGGGAGACTTGATCCCCAACCCTACAAGCCATACGCCAAACTCCTTTAAAATATATAGCGGATTAAATCAAGTTGTGCCACTCGCGCAACACCACAAGCAATCATCACTGTACTGGTTTTGATGGCCCATAGCATTGTCAATGACTTCATCCGCTAAGATTATCGCCATGCCTATGGGAACCATTCAAAGGTTAGAGAGGGAAGATGTCCAGTGCATGCCGACAAATATTGAAATATGAGCGGAACGGCTGAGAGTGTAAACAGCAATGAACACTTTACCTCAATGTGCCAAATATCCTTTGCGTACTCGTGTATTGTTCGATCACTGCTGAATTTCCCAGATACAGCAGCACTGACCTGCAAAACCCATGCAACAAACCCATGCAACATGCACTTGTCAGA